GGGATCTGTCCCAGTGTCCCCCGTGAGGGAGGCAGGGGGCTTGGAGAGGAGAGCAATGGGCTGAAGGGTGCCTTCGTGAGCTTAGGAGTGGCCTCCAGGAGTGGCCACCTCTCACCCAAGGCAAGACAGGTTGAAGACTGTTGTGGATTCCTGTCCCCTCTTCCTCACTTCCCACCACCACCCTCGCCCCACACCCAATTACCCCTGGGCTCTGTGTTGGGTGGGTTTGGCCCAGAGCCGTCTTTACTCCTGCCCAGGGGAGACCCCTGCTTCCCGAGGGGTTCTGTGAGGCAGAAGCCCCCTAGAGCAGTGCTTCTCTACCTTGAACTTGAAGCCAACTCCTGAGGACCCTGGGAATGCAGACCTGGTACAGCAGATCTGCTGTGAGCCCAGGACTCTGCTCCGGACCACCCACCCTGGCTGCCCCGAGGCACCGATACCCCGCCCAAGGGCACTGGCCCCTGTCCCTCATGGGGAGGCACCGTGCCCACCAGCCATGCTCACCTGGCCGCACCCGCACTTACCAATGGTGGTGATGGTGGACACGGAGAAGAAGAAGGAGCCCATGATCTCCCAGCGCCCCATGCTGGTGGTGTTGCCCAGCACGATGTCCCCAGTTTGGTATGCGTGGATGATGCCCTGGGGAAGAGGCAGCAGTGACCACCAGGCACTGAGGTGACTGGGCTCCTGCACCCAGTCCCACACACATGCACATGTTTACATATACCACACACACCACACACACACACACACACACACACGTGTGCATGGAAATCCTCACAACCACGCTGAGCTTAGTCTGGCCTGGGCCAGGAGGCTCTCTCCCTCCAACCAGGGGCTCCCCTGGGACAGCTCCCTCCCTTCCCTTGCCCCGGGGGCCCAGGCCAGCCCAGGCCATCTCACTGGTTGGAAGAACATCCCTCATTTTCTTTTCTGCTCACCCCCATTCTTGCAACAAGCACTGGCCAGACAGGACCTGTGGTGTTTTGGGGGACACGGAGATGAAAGAGACAGGACCCCCGTCCTCAGTGGGATAAAGACAATGTGGTGAGGTCAATGCAGCTTTAAGGCAGTGCAGCGGCAGGATCCCGGGCAAGACCCTCAGCTCTGTTTCTCAGCTTCCCTGTCTGCAAAGTGGGCGCACTAACAGCACCCGCTTCATAGAATCGTGGTGACGGTTAAATGAGGCGCTGGGTGTAGAGATGCAGAACAGTGCCTGGACCTGGTTCAGGTTAGTGATGGCTGTCATCCTTATGCTTTGAATCCAGTGCCAGAGGAGCACAGAGAGAAAGGGTGCCTATTCTGCTGAGGGAAGGGAGGAGGCCTCATGGAGGGGTGATGTTGTCCCTGGGCCTTCCTGGAGGGTCAGATGGGAGTGCTCCTAGCGGAAGGACATTCTGGCAGCTGGCAGGCAGGACTGCACCTGGGATCTCAAATAGGGAGGCCGAAAGATTGTTGGGAGCCAGGCCTTACTTGGCTCTCTCTGCCCGACACACAGAGTGACAGGCCTCTCCCATGGCTGCTGAGCAAAGGCGAGGAAGGATGAGGGTGTGCCCGGCTGGTGTGGCTCAGTAGCTGAGCATTGACCTATGAACCAGGAGGTCACAGTTTGATTCCTGGTCAGGGCATATGCCTAGATTGTAGGCTCCATCCCCAGTGTGGGACGGGCAGGAGGCAGCTGATCAATGAGTCTTTCATCATTGATGTTTCTCTCTCTTCCTTTTTTTTTTTTTAAGAAAGATCAGGTTGTGTGCTCTGTGGCAGAGGCAGTATAGAAGATGCTGTCAGACAGGAAGCCGAAAGCCTGCTGCGGAGCTGAGTGATGGAGGGCCTGGCCTGCATCCTGGCACAGGGTGGTCCAGGGGGAACAGAGAGGAGCCAGTCAGAAGCCCCAGCCTCCGGCCCTATTTGGTGTGGGCAGTGCGGGAAGCACCTGAGGCCCCTGTGAGCTATGTGGATGTGAGGCTAGAGGGAAGGAGGGCTGGAAGGAGGGCCTCCTGCTGTTGACCTTGGAGGAACTTCAGGGCTGCTAGGAAGCTGCATGTATAAGTCTGCACACAGGGGGGATCTGGGTTGGGGACATCCTATCCTTGTTCCTGGGGATGAAGCCAGAGGAGGGTGGAGTGGAGGTGTGAAGGCGGGGTGCACGGAGAGGAAGCCCTGAGGGAACCTCAGGAATACCCACACCCACAGACCACACTGGGCAGTGCCCAGTGATGCAGAGCCCAGCTTCCTGGCTCCGTGATGTGCGTGTGTGCCAGCCTCCCTGAGTCCCTGCTTCCTCAGCTCTAAAATGAGGTGATAGTAATAGTACCTGCCTGTGAGGCAGGTGAGGACGAGGGACAGTGCTGGGTGCACAGGAAGTGAGGGGCATTAGCGTCATTGACTTCTCATCACTGTCCCCGTTCCTGGCCCAGGGACGCTCTCCTCCTCTGCCAGGCGGCCGCCTCCGGGACCAGGCAGAGGGCCGTGTTCCTAGGGGCTTAGAGGTGGGGGGTGCTACATTAGGTCCTTAGCAGAGAAGGTCCTTCCCCCACTCAGCTCCAGGCCAGGCTGAGGCCCAGGCCAAGGGCTCAGGACCCCCTAGTGCCCCCCAGCCCGATGCCTAGGATGCAGGCTGCCCTCCCCGAGGGGATTGCGGGCTAGGGGTGAGGCTGTCTGCAGGTGGGATCAAGCCAGGGCTTGGGATGTTAATGCATCCGTCAAACCCCAGCAACTCCCAGTCCAGGGCGCCTGCCCTGAGGTGGAGAAGACTTGGGTCCATCCTTCATGCCCCGCCCCAAGAACCCTCCCTGCTCCCCCGTGGCAAGCCCCGCTGGGCTCCCATCCTCTGAGCAGTTCACCCCTGCGTCCCCACCACCGACCTCCTAAGCTCTTCCAGGTCCCTGGGCTGGGGAGGCTGCCCAGCCCCTGTCCAAAAACTCGGATTAATGAGTAGTCAGCTAAGAAGTGCCTTGCAACCCCACCCCCCACCCCCGCCTTCTCTAGGACCCGGACGCTGGCAAGGGCCACTGAGCTCCTTCCTTCGCAGGCCCTGTCCCATCCCAATGCTTCCCAGCCCCAGCTCCCCCTTCCTGCCACCTCTCAAGCCTGCTGAGAGCACCCTGATGGGCCCTGGCAGCTCCTGAACCAAATAGGTGCGCCCCCTGTCGTCCTCATCCCCAGGTTTGGTGTTTGTGCCCTCTGGCCCCTAAAGTGCGCACAGCGTGGCGCTCCTCTCGCCAGAGCCGAGGCGGGACTTGCCTGTCCCTCCATCCAACACTCGCCCCCACCCCACCACGTGCGGCCATGTGGTCCCCGCGTCTACGGCCGCCTCCACCCTTTTGGAGAAATGCCCCCTGCGTGTTCCTGGCCCGGGCCAGGGTGTGCCCTGCCGCCCTCTGCCCGCCCCCCCTCCCCCCACCCCCGCCGCGCTCCCCTGCCCGCCCGGGTCTCCCGCCGCCCCCTCCCCCCGCCGGCCCCGCTCTCCCCTGACCCGGATCAGCGAGTCCAGCGCCGAGCCGTCCAGGCACGTGAAGTTCCGCAGCAGCGCCCACTTGTCGCGCTTGAACCTGGCCTTGGAGGCCTGCGCCGCGGGGCTCTCCAGCATCCAGAACACGCCGGTGCCCAGGGCCAGGTAGGCCAGGTAGGCGAGGAGCAGAGGCACCGTGCTTGGCAGGGCGCAGCACCGAGCCCTGCCCTGGGACGCTGCCCGGGCTCGCTGCCCGCACATGGCAGGACAGACAGGGCGCCCGGCCTGGGGAGCCATGGACCAGGACCCTGGTGGAGAGGAAGGGCTCGCCTTCTGCTGGCCAACCGCTGCTGTGCCCAGTTTTCTCAGCAGCGGAGGCGTGCTGGACAGCGTGCCCCACCCTGCCCTGGGATCCAATCCCAGGGACAAGAAGAGGCCTGAGCTGTGGCATCTGGCCCCGCCTCGAAGTGTAGGGAGTGCCCACCCCCCAGCCCAGCTCAGGGAGGTGGGGAGGGCTGCTGGGTGGTGCCAACCCTGAGAAGGAAGTGCCCAGAGCCCTCAGCTGCCCTGCAGCAGACAGTGGGAGGGGCTGGGGGAGACCAGACGCAGGGGGAAGAGAAGGGAGAAGCCAAGTTTATTTTCTGAGGGCCCCTGCCTAAGGCCCTGGGTCTGGGGACCATCTCCAAGGACTGCTGCTGTCAAGTCCTCCCCGGCTCTCTCACACCCTCCTCCTTCCCTTGGTGCATCCAAAGAGCAGGGCCGGCTGGTCAGCGCTGTCCCTGAGCCCGGGATGCAGAGGGGCCTGGTCAGTGAGTGGGCTGTCCACTCCCTACTTCGGAGGAGGCCCCGTACTCCCTCCTCTAGCCAGGATGGAGGGAGGGTCCTGGTGGTGAGGGGGCCAGAGGAGTCCTCAGCTTCAACAGAAAGTCCGGGAATGTCATCTGGGTTGTGCTGCTGTAGATGCTGTCCCAACTGGGCCTCTTCTGCTTCCCAGCCTCGCCTCGTCCCCTCCTGAGGTCCGACCACTGAGGGCCTGCCTAGTGGCGGGGTCCTGGGGCTGAGGTTTGCAGTCCTCGGTGAGCAGGGCCTGGGAAGGACTGGTCCCAGCTTCTCCTCTCCTCTGGCCGGAGGTGTGGCCATCCATCTGGCAGAAGAAAGGCCAGGCAGCAGAGCTGGTTCCCAGGGGAGGCTGGGCCTCCATGGAGTTCAGTTTGTGGAAGTCTCCTGGGATCTGCTGACTCTGCGTGTTCCCAGGGAAATATGTTTGGAAATGCTCTTAAGAAGACAGGAGCCTAGAGTGGGTGATGGGGTCAAGGGGTGCCCTGGGAAAGGGCCAGGGGAGACCATTCTCAGGAAAGTGGGTGGGACACCCCGACCTCCTAAGCTTTGCTCACAGACAGCTCTGGACTTCTAGGCCAGGGGCCCTGGCACTTGCCTGCCCCTCAGTGCAGCTCCCTGAGGGCAGATCCTGTCTGCACTGAGATGCCCTAAGACCCCTGCACTCCCCTTCCCCCTCCCTGCCAGCTGTTCCCGTGGGCTATCATTTGCTCTCGTCATAGCATTTTGAGTCCTGGGTTGGGATTGCCCCTCTACTTAGCTAATCCTTCCACTCAATAAGTGCACATGGAGGTCAGGGACTTCCCAGAGCCTGACTCAGTGCAGACACATCGCGGGGTCAGACCAGCGAACACTGCGCAGGTCTCCAATGAGGCAGAAGCACAGCCACCCTTGCTTGCTGTCCTGCAGCATCTCTGGGGAGGGGCTGGGAGGAGGGCAGTGGGGGTCTGGCCACAGTGATCCATGTCTGGTCCCCTTTGAGGGGAAAAGAGCAGGGGCTCTGGGACAATGGCCACCCTCTCGCCTCACACCCACCCGTCATAATCCTGTCTCCCCATCTCCATTCTGGTACTTTTGGGGACACTCCTCCCTCCTTTCTCTCTCCAGTGAGCTCCTGAGATCAGCCCTGGCTGAGAGAGGAGGAGTGGGGAGGGAAATCCAGAGAACACATGCGCAGGGCGGGGGAAGCTGAGTGGTGCTCCTCGGACCACTGGGGTGGGGGCTCATGCAGAGGTGGGGATCTTCTGAGGTCTGGGGAGCCCATTGGCCTCAGGATCTCCCCCTTCCTTGAGGCGGAGGCCCCTGCTGAGCAGCCAGAGCTGTGAGCACCTGTGCAGAAGCAGGGGGCCCAACGGGAGGACCAGCGCCAGCCATGCCAGGCCCAGGAGGATCCAGATGGCCGCCAGGCTCCGGTACACCGAGATGTAATGCTTGCTGGGGTCCGTGCCTGGCCGGGAAGGTAATGTAATAAATGCCAGGGATCTGAGGGCACAGCCACTCCCTCTTCTCCCTCCCTCCCCCAAATCCATTGGGGCCCTGAGATCTCCCCATAACAAGGATCATCAATGGAGGTCTCTGGGGAAAGGATATGGATTCCAGACCAGCAGCTTCTGAGAATGTGAGAATGCGCAGCAGCCTCAGAAATCATTCATCTCCACAAAGCAGGGGGCCATCTGATCCTCAGGGGCCACCCCCACTGACATCTCCCCAGCCCCCCATCCCGGTGTCCCTGACCCTGAGGCATGTGAAGGCCTTGTCCTCACCGACAACATAGTCCCCGAAGCCGATGGTGCTGAGAGTGATGAAGGCAAAGTAGAAGCCCTCGCTGAAGCTCCAGCCCTCCACGTGGCTGAAGACCATGGGCGGGAAGACCAGGATGACCAGTGTCCCCAAGGTCAGGAACAGAGCCAGGCCCAGCACCTGCAGGACCTGGAGGGAGGGGGGCAGTCCATCTCTGAGCCCACGTGGGAGACCCCAAGACTGTATGGGGGGAGAGTTTGGGGAAAATTTGGGTGTGGGAGTGGGTCACAGCTGGGTACCTTTTCTGCCCTGCAGACCTTTGGGGTGGGGCCTGGATCTCCATGTCAGGGGGAGATCTGGTCAGAGGGGCTGCATTGGTGGGTCAATTGGAATCCAGAGATTCCTTTGGGCTAGTACAGGTCCCCCAGGACTCAGATTTGGGACAGAGGACTGTCACTGAAACCTCCCAGCTTCCTCCCCTCCCTTGTCCTGCTAGTGTGCCTGGCTTTGCAAAGGACTGGCCAATGGGGTGGGTATTGGGGCATGCTGGGTGGCCTGGAGTTTGGTGGAGTTCTGTGATGACCATGGAGGTGTGCCATGTTGACCAGCTGTCAGCAGGTGGCATTCTGCTGTCATCTCCTTCAGGATGTGTGGCAGCTACAGGGAGGCTGCCCGGTGCCTAATTGAGGCAGGGTGTAAAGTCCTGGTCATGCCCGGCCGGCAAGGCTCAGGGGTTGAACATCGACCTATGAACCAGGAGGTCGTGGTTCAATTCCTGGTCAGGGCACATGCCCCGGTGGCAGGCTCAATCCCCAGTGTGGGGCGTGCAGGAGGCAGCCAGTCAATGATTCTCTCTCATCATTGATGTTTCTATCTCTCCATCTCTCTTCCTCTCTGAAATCAATAAACATATATTTAAAAAAAAAATCTCGATCATTTCAGCCTGCTGTGGGACACCTCCGACGGCCTGTCCATGCCCCAGAGCTCTGTGAGGGGTTGGCCAAGTCTGCCCAGCCACGTGGCATTCAACCTCTCCCTCTGCCCAATCCTTTCCTTCCACCAGTGCCTGCCTCATACCTGCTGGCCACAATCCGTAGGTCAGTGTTGGCTTCTACGGATTAACCTGACCCGGATCTGTCACCGCAGGGCTGGAGGAGGGTGGGGCCTACCTGGGAGCGTCTGGGCTGGTCCTCCCACCTCTCCAGTGTGGTCAGGTGACCACGCAGCCCCGTGCCCAGGTGGTTGAGGAAGATCACGTTGAGAGGGATGCCCACCAGGGCGTAGAAGACACAGAAGACCTGGCCTGCCTCGGTGCTGGGTGCCAGGTTCCCATATCCTGCAGCGGAGGAGGAGTGAATGTGGGGAAGAGAGCTCAGAACTGCCTCCCCCACAGACTCCAGCAGAGCTGGGTGGTCTTCCGTGGCCACTGGGGGATGAGGAGAAGGTTTCCTGGTTGCATGGACACTCGTCTCATTCTCTGCTAGGACGATCCCTGTTTACTAGTGTAAGACTCCTGCTTGTCTTTTAAGGCCCATCATAAGTGACCCTTCCTCTAGGAAACCCTCCTGACCACCACCCTTCATCTTCCTTGTAGGTCTGATGTCCCACAGTGCTTTGTGTCATTCCTATCTACTCATCTACTCTGCCTGGCATGTTATTTTTGGTGTTTATCTTATCCTTTCCATTGGAGTGGAAGCTCCTTGAGGGCTGAGTCTGGGTCTGATCCAAGTTTGTATGAATCTCTCTCCCCCTCACTCCTTCCTGTCTCCCATGGCACCAGAGCTCAAAGAAGGCGTTGGACTTAATTGGTCTTAATTGAATAGATGGGGTTAGTGAGGGTCTGGGGTTTCCTTGTAGGATCGGAGTGGGTGTCTGGCTGAAGGGTACAGCAGACATGCCCAGTATCCTGGCCCCTCGGAGCCCCTGGCACAGCACCGGCAGCCTGTAGACAGTTCCTGTGCACACAGATGGCTTCCCTCCAACTCCCTGCATCTTGCACCCGAGAGGCTTTTCAGCTGCAAGAGTTCCCTTGGTCCGTGGGCAGGTCCAAGTGCTGGAGAGTTCATACATCCAGGATTCACTCTCAACCCGCCAAGTTTGAGAGTGAATCCTGCTTTCTCGCCCCTCACAGGGGCTGCTCAGAGGATCTGCACTGAGCCCAGAGGGTCTGCAGTGAGCCCAGCTGCCCTGCCGGTAACCTGCTCATTGATGCAAACTTTATTGCCCTTTCTCCTTGTTTCACTTTCCACATCCCAGATGAACCACATCCTTGCTTCAGCCTCTGCTTTTGGGGAACCCAAACCTAGACAGGGGAGCCCTCCTTCACCAGGCCCTTACCTATGGTAGTGACGACCGTGCCGGCAAAGAAGAAACTGCTGCTGAAGTCCCAGTTGCTGGGGTTGGTGGAGTTGCCTTTGGGGTTCACACCCTTCACCCAGGCTTCCATGATGACCTGTGGGATGGCAGGGAGAGGGAGCTGATGGCACCAGCTGGTGCCCAGAACTCAGGAGGTCACTTTCGTGTCACCTCACGTAATGAGGTTCTCAGATGGTCTTGTTTCCTTTGCACGGTCAAGGACACGAAGGCTCCGAGTGGCCACACTGCCCAGGCTTGTGAGTGTGGGCTGGTGGAGGGGCAGGGGCCCCAGGAGGCAGAAGGTGCTTAAGGAATGGACCGGGTGGGAGATGCTGTGTGTGGCCAAGAGGGTGAGATGCCAGTGTGTTGTTAGGCCAGGGTGAAGATTTCAGGTTGGATATTTCTGGAAGGGTTTACTGGGGAACACGGGGTAGGAGGCCCATCAGGAAGGTGGGGAGGTCGGTGTTGGAGAAGGGGAGCCTGCCCTTCCAACGGGGCTGATGGTCCTTTGTGTGTCCAGGTGAGCTGGAAGTCTTGCTCTTTGCTGTCCTCTAGTGAGTGCCAGCCCAGGCTACAGGAGAAATTCCACCAGAGGAGGGCACAGGTCTCGTGTGTGTGTGTGTGTGTGTGTGTGTGTGTGTGTGTTTACAGAACCTGAACCCCTCCCTGCAGGTCAGGCCTGAGCCCCTCTATCTCGGGTCTAGCTCTCTCAGATAGGGCGGGGCTCCCTCCCTGCTCCCTCCCCGCTCCCTTCCCCTGTGGCTGTGAATTGTGCTGGGGCAGCAACACAGCCTGACACTTAGTAGAGCCTCAAAGACAGGCAAGAGAAGGTGGGGGAGGGGCAGCTCTAGCCCCCAGTTCCTGTGGGAATGTTTCCCTGCTGGCTGGGTGCAGGAGCTCTGGCCAGGGGGAGGGGGTCCCATGATACAGGCCGTTAGGCGCCCTGACGCAGGCTGTCTGCTTCTTCTCACTTTGGCAGAACTGGCCTCGTTGCATGTGGACTTTGGCCTCCCTGTCTTTCCCACACACTTAGACAGTCCAAGATGGAATATTCTGGAACATACCCTCTCCCTGGAGACCCTCCCTCTTGGGAACAGCACTTGCCCCGGACTCAGCTGCCCCACACTGACGTACTCCATCCCGTTGAGGAAGGTCCTTGAAGTCAGCGAGGGTACTGAGTGGGGTCCTTCTGTCCTTCTCTGAGAGCCCATGTGGAGACACCAGACAGAGGCCTGTGAACCGGCAAGGGCCTCCTTCCCTGGACGCTGCCTGCGGTCCTGGTGCAGCTTTCCCTCGTGACCAGAGCAGTCACGCTCGCTTCAGAACCTCATCCCAGATCTCTCTCTGCTTTCCAGCTAGACACCCCCTGGCCAGTGAGGTCCCTCTTGAGGAGGCTGAGGACGAGAGGGATGTCCTGGCTCCCTCAGAGCTGCAGCCATGCCTGTGGCTTCCCCCTCCTTTTGCAGAGCTACCAACCCTTCGCACGCCTCTGGCTCCTGGGTTTGCCTCGAACCCAGGGCTGAGGGAGCAGGAGGCTCCAGGGCCTCTCTCATGGCCCCCCTCTCCTCCCTCATGCCTATTGGAGTCTTAAGAGGCTCCCAAACCCGTTCCAGTCCTGATGTGGGTGCTGTGGGGATGTGAAGAATAGGCCTTGGCAGGTGTCTCACAGCCCACCCCCCTCATAGCCAGCTGCTCTCCATCCTGAGTGGGCATTGGCAAGGCCGCCTGCTGGCCCCGCCCTGGCTCTGTGGGGCTGGGGCGGTGTGAGCATTGGTGTTTCTGACACGCTCCCAGGTGCTGTCCCAGGTGGTGCTGATGCAGCTGGTTGGGGCCACACATGAGAACCGCTGCACCCCTGTGTCCTGCCCGGCGCTTATGCTAATCTGTGTGGTGAAGAGCAGCCGGCCCGAGTGCCAGCTCTGTCTCTGCCACTAACTGCGCAACCTTGGCCAACACACGCCACCTCTCTGTGCCGCACTTCCCACCTACAGACTGGGGATGGTGCTGACGAGAGTGATTACGAGGAGACTCCTGTAAAACCCTGGGCCCCGCACGGTGACCCTGCTCCCTGCTGTGTCAGGCACATTGTAAATGCTCAGTGAATGCCACCGATCGCGGTGCTGACCAGCTTGTGTCCCTGTAGTCCTTTTCTCTGCCTCCTAGACTCCAGTGCATGTACCTTCCTCAGCAACAAGGCATTTTGCCTTGTTTCCTGGAGAGAGCATGTTGCGACCCCCGAGTTGGTGCAGGGGAGCAGAAGGGAGTCAGGCAGGGGTGACCCCCTCCACCATCAGAGATTGCCTTCCATGGGCCAGTGCGGGTGGAGCTCTGTCGCTCTTGCCACTGCTCACCAAGCCCAGCGCCAGGGTCCAGGCCAGGGCGGGTTAGCATGGCGGCCGCTCCTGCCCTTCCTCTGTGCCCCCCACCTGCCGCAGCCCGAGCGTGGTCAGCACAGTGGCCACGGGGCTGGGGTGGGGAAGCACAGAGTGGGGGAGGAGCACATTTGCACAGCACCTCCGCTTCTAAGCAGCAAGTGGCAGCTTAGGCAGTGCTTCCAGCCTGCTGCCCCATGTCACAGAGATCCAGTTTTAGGCCTGGACCTAGGTCTCCCCTGGCTCTGTTCCCACACCCCCTGCTTGCAAACAGGGCATCGGTTGCCAGGTCGTGGCCCTGGACCTATCACAAAGACCCCCGTTCTGCCCACCCTCCCCAGCAGTGTGTCCCCTTCACCTGCACGAACTGCTCCAGGGCCCGCTGGTCCAGGCAGGTGTAGTTCTCCAGGAAGCGCAGCTTCTCAACCTGGAACTGGTCCCGGGACTGAGCCTCCGCCTGCCTCTCCAGCAGCTGGAAGATGGTGGCACCGAGCAGCAGGTAGCAGACATAGACCAGCAGCAGCGGCAGCAGCCGGCCGCCCCAGCAGCTGCAGAGCCCGGCGTGGGGCATGGTGTGGCCGGGACTCTGCCAGGGCCTCGGGGCTGGCTTGGGGAGGAGCTGCGGGCAGGGCTGGGGGACCTGCACTCGGCCTCCTGCCGGCCTCGCCCTCCCAGGCACAGGTGTCCAGAGGCTGGGAGTCTGTTTGAACAGCGCGGCTCAGCTTGGATGCACTAAGTGCCACGAGTGCAAACAGGCCTGCCTCCCCCCGCCCGGCCTCTTTTTCCATGGAGAGCGGCAAGTGGCCCGGACCCCTCAGATAGACTACCGGGTCTCGCTGAGGTCATCTGCCTCGCCCTCTGCCTGCAAGCTGGACGGGGTTTATGGGCCAAATCTGAGGCTCTCCTCACTCTGCCCAGGCTCGCGTGGCCCCCTCAGCAGCCCCCAGCTTCTCACCCACGACGATTCAAGTCCCCAACTTAGGAGCTGGGAAGAAATCAGATTGGGTGTGAGTAAACCTTATACTCAGTCGCCTTGGCTACCAAAGGGGCAGAATTGACCTGCCTATTGGGGGAACCGAGGATGAGTGAACTGGTGACAAATCAGGGCAAAGCAAATAGACAGCGACAGTCCCATCAGGAGCAGCAGGGGCCGGCGCTCCTGACACACGGGAGTGTTTGCTCGAGGCCTTTGCTGACAGTTGTCCCTGCTTGAAGGCCTTTAGCTGGCTGCCTTCAGAGGACACCGCGTCGCTGAGATACGCGTGTGAATAAGACGAGGCTGGAGTGTGTCCTGGCTCTGGGTGGGCAGAAGCGGTGTGTCTTCTTGCTTATGTATGTGTGTATTTGTAATAGTTTTATCGACATATGATTTACATACCATACCATTCACAAACGTAAAGTACGCAATCGAATGCTTTTTAACAGCCAACTTGAGAACATTTTCACCACCTCGAAGAGAAACCCTGGACCGTTTAGTCCCCCTCCCCGAAGCTGCCCCCTTAGCCTCTGGCAACTGTTCATCTATTTTCTCTGTGGACTCGCCCACTCTGGACGTTTCATACAAACGCAGCCACACAGTATGTGGCCTTCGGTGTCTGCCTCCTTCTGTTAGCTTAGTGTTGTAACGTTCATCCACACGGCAGCCTGTCGGTTCTGTATCCCTCTTCATGGCTGCATGATGTTGTATTGTCTGGCTAGACCAACATTTTATTTATCCATTTTTCAGCTGAGAGCTATTTGGGTTGTGTCTACGTTTGGCCGTTATGAGTCACGCTGTTATGAATATTCACGTACACGTTTTTGTGTGCTCACATGTTTTTAATTCCTTTGGATATATTCCTAGGAATAGGATTGCTGGGCCATATGGCTACTCCATGTGTCATCTTTTGAGGCCCCACCAGACGGTTTTCCAAGGTGGCCGCACCCTTTTGCCTTTCCACGGCAGTGTGCGAGGGTTCTGGTGTCTCCACTCGTGGTTTGTGTAATGAGCTGCGGCAGCAGATGCCTCGCATTGCCTGCCCAACAGCCTTTGCTTCCTTCCTGGCCCACAGAACCCCACGTTAGGACAGGCCAGGCAATGAAGCGTGGCTGGTCTCGCCATCACAGTTATCCTGCTTCCTGCTTGCAGACCGGGGTCCCCTCAGGAGCAGCCCTGAGGGGTTTGTGCATGAGCAGGAGGTAAGTCAAGGCTGCCTCCAGCTGGTGCGTGGGGAGCCCTGGCGTGTCCAGCACCTCCCAGTCAGTCCCAAGTGGGGCAGGGAGCTGGGCTCTCCTATCCCCACCCTGGCCAGCCCTTCGGGCACCTCTGGCTTCCACCTGCAGGCGACATGGCTCCGGGAGCCTGTGGATAGTCCGCTGAGGAGCCCCAAGTGCAGGCAGGGCCACTGGAAGCAAAAACACATTAAAGTGGGGAGAGAGGCTCAGAGACGGGGAGGGGCTCAGAGGATTGGCAGTGTCCCTTGCACCCACTTCCCAAGCTCCCTTGCAGCTGGGTGGCCATGTGGCCCACCTCTGACCAATTAGGTCTGGGCAGAGCTGGCCAAGGAGGTGGGGGCAGAGGGCTTGGCCTCCGCTGGCCCCCCCTGTCTCTCCTGAATGCCCGGTGACTGCACCCGCTGCTCGAACCTGTGTCCTTGAGGGAGAGGCCTTGAGGGAGAGGCGATGTGACCCCTGCACACACCTGTCTCCAGCTCTTTTCACTTCAGAAACAGAACGCCTTGTGTTTAGGCCACTGTTAGGTTTTCCGGAACATCCCAGTGGCTCTGTGAGGCTTGTTTTTCTAAGTTTGCGTTGGAAGGAACGGGAACACTCTCCAGGTAGCTCAAGTAACTGGAATAATTCGTGGTGGGAAGCCAGGAGCAGCCCGGGTTCCAGAACAACCAGGCCTGGACCCTCACTTCTCCCTCCCACCGCTAACATGCCTGCCCACTCTCCTCAGCCGGCCCCTTCCCTCCTCCCAGCAGGTGGGCCTCTGGGTGGTGTCAGCTTCCAGGCGCCCCTTCTCTTGGCATCTCTTGGCTCAGATCCCCTAGGGGGCAGTGTGTCCGGGAGCACCTTGCCTGTGGGCCGCCTCAGGCTGAGGGTGGCTGTCCCCACGTGCAGGTGTCATGTGAAGGGCTATGGGGAGGCAGACACTGGCGCAAGCATGTCCAGGACAAGCACCTACGGTTCTATAATGGGAGGGGGGAGGAGGCGAGGGAGGAAGATGGGGGGGGAAGGGGGAAGGTATGACTTACAGAAAATAAAAACAGGGAGGAGACTTTGGCTGTTTTCAAGCACATGGACAGTGGAGAGAATAGTGGTGGCACAGGGCTCTTCATCGGCTCCGAGGCCAAACCAGAAGGACAAATGTCCCCTTAGGGACATCCCTAGGCTGTGACGAGGGCCAAAGGCAGGCGGGGGCTCCCCCACAGCACCCCACCCATCCTGTGGTCCAGGTGGGGCCGTGGCTGGGGTGGCAGCCGCCTTCTCTGCGATCCTGCAGGTTCAGGGTCCCCCGAGGCCACCTGGGATCTAAGCCGCCCTGGGCAAGGCCCCCTCACCCCCTGAGCTTCCGGTCCGCACTGTGTGGGCTGTGGGCTTCTCTTGGAGGCAGATGCAAGCATCGGGAGCCACAGCTCACCCTGGACCAGGACTCCTCGTGTTCTGGAGAAATGGGACGACAGTGCTGACTGTCATCCTGTCACCACAGTCTTTCCAGTTCCTGGTTTGAGCAAGGGTTGTCGTTAGACCTGCAAGGCCGTGTGATAATCGGGTCCTATTTTATTGCCCCGGAGACGCTCCATATGTGAAGAGTTCTCCGGGTGCCATTCAGGAAGCTTAGCCACTGAGGCCCTGGAAGGGGAGCTCGGGAAGGTCTTAGCAGCCTCTATAGCCCGAGAGTCCTCCACAGCGCTGGGCACGGCCCACAGGCCACGGCGGCTGTCCTTAGGCGGGAGGAAATGAGGGGCGAGAGCATGCACTCCCCGCATGGGAGCGCTCATGGGCCCGAGGACAGCGGTGTCACCTCGGGATGGGGGGGATGGGGGGAGGGCGGGTCAGCCACCAGAAGCCCTGCCTCCCTCAGGTCCTGGGCACAGAGAGCACCAGGTTCCCTGTGGGCAAAGCACGCAGTTATGGATTCCGGTAGCCCCCTTCCCCGCGGCTTCACTTTCCACGGGGTTAGTTACCCATGGTCACCTGCCGTCTAACAACATTACATGGAAAATCCCAGAAATAAACAATCCACACGTTTTAAATTGGGCACCGTTCTGAGAGGCGTGATGAAGTCTGTCACCGTCCCCCTCCCTCCACGGGGATGCAAATCCTCCCTTGGTCCCACGTCATCAGGCCGTGGCCCGCCCCTTAGTCACTTAGTGGCGTGGCCGTCTGGGTTATCAGGTCGGCTGTCACAGTACTGCAGGGCTTGTGTGCAAATAGTCCTTCTTTACTTCATAACGGCCCCAAAGGGAAAGCGTGGTGGTGCTGGCAGTGTGGACGTGCCAGAGAGAGCTGTGAATGCTTCCTTTAAGTGAAATGGCGAGTACCTACAGGAAAGAACGTATATACGGAGGATTTGGCACCATCATGGTATCCCCATCAGATAAGGGGGCCACACTGTCCCTACAGGGAACCTGCCACGTGCCGGCAACGTTGTGCCAGACTGTGGCCACCTCCCCTTTCATGGCCACTCTTTCTCCCCCGCCTCTTCCTCTCTGCTCTCTCCTCTCCCGCTCAGGTTTTCAAAGACCAGCGGGGACAGAGTCTTTCTCAGGGCGCTGCTAGCCAGGGGACGGCGGGGGTCTGAAAACCCGAGGCCACAGAGCCGAAGGACGGTAACAGAATGTGGACTTGGTGTGTGGGGGTCCATGTGAGGTTCTCAAAACCCTCTGCCCCCTAGAGGGTGCCCCCGCTTTCCTCCCTCCCTTTACTCATTCAGTTCACAGGGATGGAGGCCTTTGTGCCCGGCCTGAGCTGCTCCTGGCTGGCTGTGGCCTGAGGAGCGTCAGTGTAGGGGTTAGGAGTGAGCCTGCAGGGCCTCCTCTCCCTTCCTCCGGCCCAGCTCCCTGCCCGACCGACACCCCAATGCGGGTACCCCTCCGCTGTGAGTGGCCGATGGACATAGGTCATGATTTATAATCCCTTTCAGGGAATTATTGCTGCTAATGGGCCACGCTGACTTGTGCTTCCACAGAGGGGAGGGCAAAATCAATTAATGGACAGTCTGCCGCGGCCGGGCTGATGGCAGAGCGGGCCTGACATCTGCAGCGATAAGGGGCTTCCTGAGGCTGAACTAACAAGGAGATTGGAGGGAAAGGGGGAAAAACAACCCCCGATCAATTCCGTGTACAGTGGGCAGAGAAGGCAGAGTAAACAGAGCTGCCGGGCCCGAGCCTCGTTCCATCTGGATGAGCCCCGAGATAAGGGAGGGACAGGCCGGCCCCCCCGGCCCCCCCCCCCCCCGCCCCCCCCCCCCCCCCCCCCCCCCCCCCCCCCCCCCCCCCCCCCCCCCCGCCACCATCCGACATCGGCATTCACTTACGGAGCCACTCAATGTGCACATATCCATGCAAATGAGAAAGAGCACGCTCCAGCCGGAACCAGGGGAGGAGATAAGGCCCACCTGGCCCCGTGTGTCCCCCAGGGGAAGGCCAGGGGAGAGGAGCTGGGCTTCAGACCCTGTGGCCCTGACCGAGGGCCTCGCGGATGGCACCACGGGCCTCGGCCACGACTCTGCACGTGGTGGTCTGGGCTCGGGCCTCCCCACGGGGGGCGGGGGGTAGTGAGGGGGGTAGGGGGGTGGGGTGTTGGGGAGAGGGGTGAAGGGAGCCCTGTGCGGAGGCAGGGGCGGTGCCAGGTGGGTCTTTGACTGTCCTCATGGCCAGAGTACGATGCCAGGGGATGTCCAGCCCAACTGTGTGACAGCAGAGGCGACAGCAGAGAGGACGGGGACACTGAGGCGCGACGGCAGGGAAAGGCTCAAAACCAACCGCCCGGCCTTTATTGATCTTGTTTGGAAATGGTTTGGAAGCGGCAAGAGTCCTCCCCAGGTGAAACCCCCCTGAGCTCGGCGTGTGGCACAGCCAGGGCTCTGGTTGAAGGTGGCGGACTCGCTCTCACCAGCGCAGAGAGCTTGGTGGCAGGAGCCCACCCCAGGTTCTGAAACTGATGCCCTGGCCTGACTAGGTTTAGAGCAGATCCTCAGGCAAAATTTGGGCACGAGCAGTGTGGGGGCCTGACATGGCGGGGGATTTCCCTTTTCCACGTCCTGCACGGAAAGAGAGATGAACAAACCGGTTCTAAGTGGAGGCGGCCAGGGATTGAGAAATATTAGAAATAAAGAGAGAAGACACAGAGATAGATTTTAAGCTGGAAGCTGGGTGGACCACCATCCTGTTGGCTGAAGAGGCAGGAAGAAGACGAAGACAATGACAACCCCTCCCAGGACATTTATTTTATACCCTAATACCAGAAAGTAACACCAACTTATTTGCATGTTAAGTAGGCCCCATGCCTGGATTTACGTATCTAGTCCCGCCCCTGCCGACACCGGGGCTGATATGAAGGCCAGGCTGACATGTCCTCCATCTTGGGGAAACATGTTTCCAAGGTGTGGCTCTGCCTATGCCTTGAGTTCAGCTGACGATAATTAAGGCAAATTACCCGTGAGCCTTCCCAGGCAGCCCTCTACAGAGCAGTTCACCAGGAGCAGGTTCCAGACAAAGACCCCCAAGGGCGTGGGAAGAGAGGCAGGAGAGGAAGGCAGCCACGCAGGGTGTGCTGAGCGGAGGACCGCTGTGGGCTCCTGGGGCCTGGCCCCTCTGAGGACCTCTGGGTTCCCCATGGGCAGCAAGGAAGCCGGGCTGCTTGCCCCCCAACTCCTGTCCCTCATGGTGGAGGGCTGTTCCAGGGAGGTTAACCCCTGCTAATGGGCTGCGAGGACCCCATGGCCAGAGCAAACTCCAGGTGGAGACCTACAGGTACTGGAGATGGGAAGCTGCTGGTCCGGGCGGGGCTGTCCACAGAGGCTGTGCGTGCACTCCATTGGCTGGGGACATGGGCAGGGCCCGGCCAGTGTCTGTCACAGCCTCTGAGTCCTCAACTCCCTCTCCTGAGTGGGGTGGGTGTAACTCCTGCGGGAAAAGAGCGCCTCTGTGGACCCAGTGAGGGAGTGGCCCCCTGGGGGACCTCCTGAGGGCGGACCAAGGAGCACAGCTACATTTGAAGAGGGACTCTGTGGACACCCTGTATTGAAGAAGCCTCTATGTCTCCTGGCTTCTGCACACTATGGGAAACCCGAGGTTCAGAGGATTTGGAGCTAAAGCAGCAGTGAGGGCCGATGAGGATACGGACCAAGGCAGACTTCGTGGGGTCCTGGCACGTACCTTTTGTCTAAATAAGCAATTTGATTAAAAAATGTACCAAGTTCATGAGCCCAGATGAAATATAGGGATTTATTCAGAATACGGTGGAGGAGAGGGGACTTTTCGACTTGTTCATCTAATCCAGTGGTCTGCAAACTGTGGCTTGTGAGCCACATGCGGCTCTTTCGTCCCTTGAGTGTGGCTCTTCCACAAAATACCACGTGCAAGCGCGCAGGTACAGTGCGATTAAAACTTCGTGGCCCATGCGCAGAAGTTGATTTTCGCCTCTCAAAAGAAATTTCAGTTGTTGTACTGTTGATATTTATTTGGCTCTGTTGACTGATGAGTTTGCCGACCACTGGTCTAATCAATGCATGAGCAGATGCTGTCCTGCATCTAATCGTGAGCCACTCAGAGCAGCACATTGACGCTACCCTGGGGACCCAGCCTCAAGCAATGCTGCCGAAGGACAGCCGCACTGTCAGCAGGAGTGACCGGCTGGCCAGGCTGTCCCCCTGGAGCCTGGACGGGCCAAGGAGCTCAGCAGAGATATTGCCGGCTCTGCCCCAGCAGGGCAGCTCCGGAACACTAGTCCTGGAGCACCTTAGAGCCTCCAGTCACCCCTGTGTGTGAGTTGAAGAGCACCCTGAGGGGAGAAAAGAAAACTGAGGCCCACGTGGGGCTGGTCTGGGCAGGAGTCGCCCTCATGGACCACATTGCTGGCCATGATGGCCTCAGAGGGAGGGGCCCTCCGAGGCATGGCGGAGGGGACCTCCTTGCCTGGCTTTGACATGGGATTTTGGACTGGAACACGCGGTGTTCCCCTGGGCAGGATGGTTCCCGGGATTCTTTCTCCACCGGGGTCAAAGAATGAATCCACGGACGGAAGATGGTATAGCAAAGGTGGAGATTTATTGAAGAGCAAGTACAGACGCCCATGTGGGGAGGGGGAGAGACTTCCCCTGGCCTGGCTTTGGAAAAGGCAAACCCAAGAGATATTTCAGAGAAGAGGAGATGATAATAGCATCTCACACCTGGGACCCCAGGGGAGGGAAGCTGGTCTGGGCAGAGCTGCTTCCTGAGACAAGTTCAATGATAGGTGACGGGGGAGGACCTGACCAGCTTTCTGCCTGCTCTTGTCCCCAAGCTCCCTCTCAATGAGCATAAAATTGGCTCAGCCCTGTTGGCTGGTGCTTGGCCAGAGAAACCCCAAATAAAGGAGCTAGCCCTGAAGCGGGTTGCCGCCTCCCCTCTTGCTGGGAGAGAAGCACCAGGGCCATATCCAGAGGCCGTGTTTCACACGGGAAACAGCCATTCCCTCCCTCCCACGTTTTACACATACACTATCAACTTCCGACGTTCGCAGCCAGTCTTTCCACACCTCCTCCCTGGAACACGTCATAGAGTGAATACTCTCTTCCCGTATCCTTAGATGACTCCAATCCTCACAGTCCCTCTTTGCCACGCTCTGGGTTCCTCTTCCACAGCTCATCCCAGGCCCCCTACCACCACGGAACCCTCAATTGCCATCCTATCCTGAGCCTCTCTCCTTTGCCTTCCTCACCATCCCTGGCCCTCACACCCCAAACTGGGACAGTGAGCCCAGGCCCATCCTACCCACCCCCACTCCTGAGCGCAGACTCTCTTGTTTGTTGCTTGACTAGCTCCCTAATTAGAGTCTAAGCCCCAAGAGGGCTGGCACTTTGTCTTGTTACCTCCGACTCATCAGAACTTAGCACGGGGCCACACATCCTGTTGAAAGAATGGCCGGGTGAGGGGCTCCTGTTCACAGTTGAGGAATTACAACCAGCATCCTTCTACTTATGTTTTAAACACACACCCATTGCATTAAAGAAGTCCCTATGTGCTTATCTGTTATCCGTGTCTTCTCCTCATTATGAACCATGTTTTCCTACGTCTTTGTAAATTTTTTTTTTTTTTATTGGATGCCATACATCGTGAATTCTACATTGTTGGGAGCTAAGTATTTTGCATTCTTTGAATTATTTTTGAGTTTTGCTCTGAGACTCAGGAAAATTGCCGGAAGCTTACTGGAAATGTAAGCTTACTTGGAAGAGTCCCGCTCATCGTTTGGCAGCCAGAGCCTTCACCAAGGGCCGGTGTGGCCCCGTCTGTATTTTGCGTTCAATGGCCCTTTAGTGAGGAGGTTTCTCCACTTGGGCTGTTGGGGGCATGAACTATTCCCAGCTCTGTGTTACTGCCTCCTCCTTTCTGGGGCTCCGTCCCCAGTCCTGGGTGATCTTCTCACATGTATGCATTGGGTAGCAGTTGGCTGAAGACTCAAGAATACCGACTTCATATCTCCAGAGAGAGAGCTCTATCTGTTGTCTCTATCTCTATAGATATTATCTGTCTTCCCTCTCTCTCTCTCTCTCTCTCTCTCTCTCTCTCTCTCTCTCTCTCTCTCATCTATTTTTATTGGTCTCAGAGAGGAAGGGAGAGGGAGAGAAAGATAGAAACATCAATGATGAGAGAGAATCATTGATAGGCTACCTCCTGCATGCCCCCCTCCCCTCCACTGGGGACCGAGCCTGCAACCTGGGCATATGCCCTTGACTGGGATCAAACCTGAGACCCTTTAGTCAGCAGGCTGACACTCTATCCACTTTGCCAAACCAGCCAGGGCCCTCTCTATCACCCTTCTCCTCTCCATACCTCTCCCCTTCCCATCCTCCACCTCCCCTCTTCTCCTTCCCCCTCCTCTCCCTCCTCTTCCTCTCTTTTCCTCCCCCCTTCTTCTCCCCTTCCCCCCTCCGACTCACTTTCTCTCTCTCTCTCACCTCTGGTACACTCTTGCAAATTTAAGCCCCCTTGGCCTCCCTGGTCTGCCAGCTCCATTCCCTCAACCAGGAGGCACCACCTGGCTCCCCTCCTGAACTGCAGCTTGGACTCTGCAGGTAGTGAGTTGGGGCGTCATAGTCACAGGGCCTCCGCATTTGATTCTCTTCCTTTGGATATCAATGTCCTCTCCTGCCGTTTCTCAACATCTAAAAGCCATGTTTTATATACATGCTGTCTAGTTCTTACTTGGTACTTTGTGCCACTGAACTGGGAGCCAGAGTGAGCAGAGCGATTGCACCAAGCTGTGGGGTGACACCAGCTGAAAAGCAGGGGCTCTGGGCTCTGATCCCCACTCACCCACCGAAGAGGAGTCGCTGAGTACCGACTCCTGCTGGGGATCCATGAGCACAAGGGAGACAGGTCCCTGCTGTCAGGGAGCTTTCAGTCCTGTGGGTGGGGGCTGCAGGCCATAGAAGATAAGCCAATAAAGATGATACATCAGACAGTGATGAAGAAAGTAGGACAGAGTCATGGGTTAGAGGGTAACTAGGGGTACCGCTACTTGGGGTGATCAGGGACAGCCCCCCAAGGAGGGGGCTTTTTCACTAACTGGCCACACATCAGCAAGCCAGGGCCCCCCCTTTGCTTCAGTTCCCTGGTTATGTAAATGAGAGTGTGGGTTAGGGGAGCCGATGGGGCCTGCCTAACTTTGAAATTCGAGGACCCCTCTTCTTCTGCATGACCCTTTCAGCCGGTCCTGAGAAGAGGGAAATAAACCCTGGGAAGGAGAGAATAGAAGCAGCGGACAAACACTTTTATTCTGCCAGCTTCATTTCCAGGCACCATTCCTCTCCCCGTCCATTCATGCAGCCCTGCCCACTGCCCCCTAAGGGTCGGGCCATCCTCCACCAGCTCAGCACCAAGAGCCAGGGCCTGGAGTGCGGGAGTCTCACTGAGACAAGACCCCGGCCGCTGTTTCCCTCATGGAGTGGGAGTTGTGGCTCAAATCCTGCAGCGCCTCAGGGCGCCCACACTGCAGAGCTCCTGAGCTGCCCTTGGCTCTCTGGGTGCTGCCATGTCCTTAGACCGCAGGGAGGGTGGCTCCCTGGCGACACAGCTCATGCAGATGCTACCTTTGGGTCAGCCGGGCATTAGGGTGATGGCCGACAAACTGGAACTGGCCATCCCGATGCCCTGCATTCCACTACCCTGCCTTTGGCTCCGGCCTACAGCCTGGCCTATTCCTGTGCCAGGGGGTAGGCTGGTAAACAGCTGGAAATGACTATTATTGCCCCATCCCCCCCATATGAGCCCTTGCCCTGCCTGGTGCTACTTCCTGTCTGTGAGTGAGCAGCAGCCCGGCCCGGCCCCAGCTCCCTGGCCCCGCACAGCCTGCCAGCAGCTCCAGTGCCTACAGCTAGTGGCCCCAGCCTCCCGGCAGCCGCCCGGACACAGCCCTAAAGAAATAGCCTTCTCCACTGAAGTCAAAGTCACTGGCTGCTCCCAGCAGGTCACTTCTGAAGCCGGTGAGTGAGGCGGCCGTCGTCTGTCTCCCGTTCTCACTGGACCCTCACTGGGAACCTGAAAGGAGACAGGTGCTCTTGGTTAGGCTGAGCAGGGGCCCCGGCTTCTCTGGGATTGAAGGGCGAAGGGGTCTCGGGCAGTGCCCCTCTCAGTGCCCGGCTCCGGGCTTCAGTTACTCCCCAAGCTCGGAGGGAAGAAGCCCTCTTTGCAGGGGCAGAGCCAACACTTGACCCCGGGGCTCTCCCGGGCTCTTCCACTTCATTAAAGGGCCTCCCTTGCTCTTTGTTCCGGGTATTCAGTAGGCTCTGCCCAGCTCCTCTGACCACATGCCCCCCTCCCTCCCTTTTCACTCCCCCCAATGCTGGGCTCAGAGAAGGCATCTCTGGATTAAGAACCAGAGGCCCTGGGTTCTAGCCAGGATGGTGTCCTATCTGTGATGCCCGTGACTTGGGGAAAGCCGTGTTAGTTCTCTGGGCCTCGCTCTCCTCTCCTAATGCCTGGAAAAGCAAGGGATTGTCGTGGCTCCTGGCTCCTCGAGGTGTGGTCCAGGGACTGGCAGCCTGGGCCTCCCTGGGAAGCTCACCAAGGAGCATAGAACCTTGGGCCCCACCCAGACTCACTGGACCAGAATCCATGTTTCAGTGGAGCCCCTAGACTCAGTGGCACATTCAAGTGCAAGGAGAACTGGTACGAGTGACATGCACTAGTTTATCTGCTTGAAGTTTTGCTCTCACGGCAGGAACTGAAGGGAATTTCTGAAGATTCTTGGCGGAGTAATGACACAGTGTTGAGAGAAACCTGCAGCAGGCAGAGCAATGGAGGGGTGAGGCAGCGGCAGCGAGGCGCGGCCGGGGGCCTGCAGTGGACGTGGAGTGGGTGCGGCCTGCTTGCTGCTGCTGAGGAAGGATCCCCAGTTCTCCGTGACACACTAGCTGTGGGGGAAGCCGGGAGGGCGAGGTTGGAAACAACTCAAGGTGCTGAGCCCTCGGTCCCTCAGGTCTAATTCTGTGTGCAGCACCGGCAGGCCTCACTGCTCACCCAGCGGGTCTCTGCTTTTAAAGCAGCACAGCTGTCCTAAGTGAGGCACGAGGACTGGCAGGCACACCCGAGCCCACGCAGGTGTGTGTCCCAGTCGCTCTGCACCTGGTTCCCAGCTCTGCTGCGTGTTGAGAACTGATGCCTGGCGCCCTCCCCTCCCCCGGGGGCAGCTCAAATCAGAGTCTTTGGGTGGGCCAGGGGTCTCCGATGGGCTGTCAGTGCCAAGACCCACTGCTTTCCTTTGTTCCAAGGACGGCGAGAGCAGGTACCGGGGCCACCTGCCCTGTGGCTGCTGGCCGGGTTGCCGGACTGATGCTTCCGCTGCACACGGACAAGCAGGGGGCCAGGAGTGGAAGCTGAGCCAGCCCCACCCAGGACTGTGGTTGCCTCACAGACTGGGCTGTGGTGACTCGGGGGGGGGGGGGGCATGGAGAAGAAACTCCACAGGCTGGCTCAGAGGGCACACTCTCTGAGACGGTTCCTCACAAAGACAGACCTCAGCCTGTGCAGGGTAAAGGCGTCGTGTGCAGGCCATGCTTTGCTGTGTGAGCCCAGTAAGGGATGGAGCTGTCCCTCTCTGTTAGATTTTGTAGCTGTGGGTTTCTGGAATGGAGGGCGCTGCTACAGATACACCCCTAAAAAAGCCGTTCCACCCTGGCTGGTTTGGCTCAGTGGATAGAGCATCAGCCTGCAGACTGAAGGGTCCCGGTTTCAGTTCTGGTCAAGGGCACATGCCCAGGTTGCTGGCTCGATCCCCAGTGGGGGTGTGCAGGAGGCAGCCGATGAATGATTCTCTGTCATCATTGATGTTACTATCTCTCCCTCTCCCTTCCTTTCTGAAATTAATAATAACAATTAAAAAAAAAAAACTGCACCTTGCTGTGCGGACCAGGTCTCAGCACACAGGCCACCCCAGCTCAGCTCCCCAAGACTACGGACATTGTCCAGGAGACACTGCCCACAGGGCGAAGGTGGAACCTGACCCTGACAGGTGGGCGGGAGGCTGCTGAGGTCACATGGATGGCAATGGCTCTTGTGTTTCGGTCTCTCCCCCAAAGTCCCATGTTCTTGCTTTTCCACGGGAAGGTTCCAGAGCAAAGGAGAGAGGGAGTTGGAGGTTCCCCAGGGTGGAGACGGTGGGGCAGGCGGTGGGGACACTGAGGCACTTCCAGGCACCAGCCAGGGTCACGCCACGGTTCCTGTCCAGAGGGAAACACTTCCAAACTCAGGGGCTAAGGCAGATGGGAAAGAATCACACTCTGGAAAGGATTTAACCTCAGCTCCTCGGGGTTTAGAGCCATCCTTGATAGTTGGAAGCAGCAGATCTGACACCACGGGTGACTAATGCCTCCTCCCGGGAATGTGCACCCGTCCGCAGGTGCCCCCGGCGGGGATTGAAACGTTCCACAGCTTTCCGTGATCCTAAATCAAACCGATTCGCCGGCCCTGGCTGAGGTCTGAGCGCCCGTGGGAGAATTATGGTAAATCACCCTCCCTGGGCTCTTGCTCCGGCCCACAGTCACAAATCCCCCATAATGAGCATCCGGAGAGGCCCGGACAGAGGGCCCTAAATTGAGGGCAGAGGGAGCCGGCGAGAGGGATGTGTTTGCTTTGGCCGGGAGGGCGCCTGGCCTGGCCTGTGTGTTTACCCCACAGGGAGGCTGAGCAGTGGGCCGCGCAGAAAGTGCTGTGCGGAGGGACCCGGGCCATGGGGTAAGTCCACAGAGGCAGCACCTGCTGGCCTGTCGGCCTACCTGGCAGGAAAGGGACCTTTGTCATCCTGTCTCAGCTCCCTTCGGCCCCATGGTCACTGAGAATCCAGGGTTGTTTTTCTTCCCTTAAGATAGGGGTGTCGAACTCAATCAGAGAAGGGGCCAAAATCTAAAATCCAGCCTAAATCGCGGGCCGAATGGTTTACTGAACAGTCATAAACTGACAATGTTAACCAGAAATGTGAATTTAAAATGAGTGGAACAATCTTATCCTTAACAGTGCTGTTAACCAACTCACATGCTATCAAGGATTTGGCCCGCGGGCCTTGTGTTTGACACGTGTGCCTTAAGAGATCAACTGGAGGACTTGTATACATGCATATAAGTACAACCAATGGACACAAAACTCTGGGGAGGGAGGGCATGTATGGGAGGGGAGGGCAATGGTATATGTACAAAGATAATAATTTAATAAAATAATTAAAAAAAAAATGAAAACTGAACCCTTGAACTTATTTGTTTTGATGAATGACTTCCAAGCTGCTGTTTGCTCGGAGGACAAAGCTCCTGGCTGCAGGGCGGGTAAGGCCCAGGGGCCAGCAGAGCAGCTTTGCAGGATGGGGGCCCAAGGGAGGGCAGAAAATTTGCCTGCGGTGTAAATGGTTCCATGTCTGTGTGCCTCAGTTTCTTCACTTGTCAAAGGGCTCCGTCTGCCTTACAGGAGTGTTGAAAGCTCCGGATGAAATAATGTACATGGAATGCATAACTGGTAATTTGTCACACACATTTTAGCTGGTGTTTCACCCGCAGCCCAGCTTCCGCGCTGCCTGGGCATTGGGCTCCAGGGAGACGCCATCCTGACCCCGTCCTTGGGCTCAGCTCTTCTCTCCCAAGAAGGTTGGAGGAAGAGCCTCTGTCACGTGACTTAAAACATGGCTCCTCACTCCAGGACTTCTTGACCGGAGAAACGACAGCTAGATTTTGTGAATTGTTCTGGGGAGGGACCTCCCTGTTCCCAAAGCCAATCCCTTCTCTGCTTGTGGCCCAGACTCCGAATTCTGTACCTCCTCAGAGAATTTCCCCTGCAGCCTGGCCCTCTGGTCCATGTCGCCAATTTCCTTTGTTCCTGTGACCACTTCACTCACTGTCTCTGCTTTCTCCCCTCCTCTCCCTCTACCGCTGCCACCACCGGCTTTCACTCTCCCAGCCGCGCCCAGAAGGGCACTGGGCCAGGACACCGAGGCCAGTGCCACCTGGACATGCCCTGGCCAGTGACTCAAAGCAGCTCTGGGCTCCACCGCCCGTACCCCTGGGAGTTCGCTCTCTTGCTACCTGCCTTAGGCGTAGCTCACTGAGCAACTGGCCTGTCTCACTGTGAGCCTTTTCAATGTCTCTGGCTGCACCTCTAAATGTCATTGCGCCTAGGTTCTGTTATCAGCCCTGCTTTCCACAACACCCAAACCTCCCGCCGGGCTCCAGCCTGAAGTGCAGCCGCCTTCTCATCTCCTCTGGGCATGCACACCCATCTGAACTCTGAATGGGCAGACCGGAGCTCTGCTATCCTCCAGACTCCCCTGCCTCTCTCACTGGGAATATGGCACCACCATCCCCGTTGGCTGCTCAGATCAGAAGCCTAGGACCCCAGGCCCCCTACCCTCCCTCCTACCCCGCCCCCGCCCCCTCCCCCCACCCCGCCCCCGCCCCCGCCCCCGCCAACTCTGCCCTCACCCTGTCCTGGACCTTCCCAGGTGCCTGACCATCACTCCTCCTGGCCCTTTAACCCAGGCTCTGAACGACAGCCAGAGTGACTTTCCAAAGCAGCAGTCACGTCCCCGCCGCAGGCACACCCTCAGAGACCTTCCCCTGCACCTGCGATAGAAGCAGGCCCCCACAAGGACCCTGGATCTGGCCCTGCTGCCTCGCTCACCTCCAGCCACCCCTGGCCAAGCCAAGCTCTTTCCCTTCAGCGCTCTTCATTTCTGCTTCTGTGCTGGGACGGCTCACTCAAGATCACCACACTGCTCCCTTCTCATTGTTCAGCTACCCCCCCCTCCCCCGCTCCCCCCCTTGGTGGGGAGCAGCCTCCCGGTTACTCTCTGCAACAATAGCATTTGGCTGATTCCTCATCTGCACCTCACAGGATCTAGGTGCTTGTTGGTGTGTTCATTAGTTTCCTCTCTTTTCCTGGAAAGTCGAGAGTACTCTGTCTTCTTCTTTTTCTTTTTTCTAATATGTATTTTTATTGATTTCAGAGAGAAAAGGAGAGGGAGAGAGATAGAGACATCAATGATGAAAGAGAATCTTTGATTGGCTGCCTCCTGCATGCCCCCTACCGGGCATGGAGCCCAAAACCTGGGCATGTGCCCTGACCAGATCAAACCCTGGACCCTTCAGTCCACAGGTCGATGCTCTATCACTGAGCTAAGTCAGTTAGGGTGAGGGCACTCTGTCTTGTTCACTACCAGGGCCCAGCCCTGGTACAGTGCCTGGCACACAGGAGGTGTCTAATAATTATTGTGTTTATTTACCAACTGGCTGTGCAAACTATTCAGTGTCCGATACATGTCCTTAGAGTATATGGGGGATAGATGGAGGATAGATGGGGCCTCATAGATCACCAAATCCAAATTCAATTTTTTCCTTCTTCTCTTTAGACAAGGAAACTGAGGCCGAGAGGAAGCCAGTGAGGAGGTCACGGTGCCCCAGCAGGTTGCTGGCAGAGCGGACTCTCAGGTCTCAGACAGGACCAGGCCAGGGGCTCATGGTGCTGACCCTACCAGTGAAGACGGATGTAAGCAAGTTGGCATCCGGGTGAGCACAACACTGCAAAGGCCACCCTTTCCTCGGGGTGCTGCACCCACATGCCAACCTCCTACTGTCCAAACAGCTGAGAGTCGTCAGGAAGCTGAGTGCAGGCTCTCAGGGCCCGGGTCAGTCATGGCCCAGGTCTGCCTCTCATCCACCAAGGAGCCCGCTGACACTAAGCCTACCGGGTGTGGTCTGGGGGAGAGGGAGGCGGGAGGAGAGGCCTGTCCACAGGGACTCTGTGAGAAAGGCTGGAAGGGCCTGCTCTTTCCCTCCCTGTTGTCTGACCAGCCACACACTTTCTCCATAACCTCGTGTTCCCAGGCCTGGGCCTCCCAGTCTGTTTACACCGACAACTCATTGGCAAGGCCACACCTGCAGGGATTCCCCAGGGGCCAGGCCACCACTCAGCCCTCCTGTATGGTGAGGAGCGAGCCAAGGAGCGCTGGCTCTGGGGGCAGGGGACAAAGGGAGCTGACCAGCTGGAAGAGGAGCAGCCAGGCTGCCCACCCTCTGGCCTGTCTGGGGGCTCCTGCTGCTGCCTCGAGGGGCTTTCTCCAGGAGGATGCAGAGACTGGGCACGTGGAGGTGAGCGCCAGGCCAGTCCCGTGGCCTCAGGACCGTGCAGGGTGCTTCTTGCTTCCCTCCGGCCTCACTGCTGGCTCCAGCCTCCCCCGGCGAGCAGAGCGGGGAGGGCCACAGGACCTGGAGGAAGGGGCACTTACATTTCTTCTGCAGAACGTTCTGTCTGGCCTTGATGAATGCCAGGATGTCGGAATCCGTCTGGCTGTCTCCGGTGAGAGGGACGGACGAGGAGCGCCTCTCAGGGGTGCTGGGGACAACCACATGCCACACTTTACTGCATCTTGTGTCTGGTCTCGGCGCTCACCTTTCCCAAATGCTTTTCCATTTGCAATGACTCAATGTCACCCAGGAGGCCACGAGGACAAATCGCGCCCCCCCCTCCCCCCGCCACACACACCCGTATCTGTTCAGCAGCCACAACAAATCTTTCCATGCAAATGTGCCATGTCCTCACCACCTTCTCCATCCTTTATCACACCCCTCTTCCCTTGTTCCCCAACTTACCCCAAACAAAGCCCATTTGACCTGGGACCTAGCTCCTTCAGTACCCAATTTAGATGCCAATATGCCTTGGGATGTCTCCCCAGTGTGTCCCCATCCCCACCACGGGTTAGCCAGTTGTTCCTGAGCCAGAGATAACTATTCTCCCCTCTCTCCTTAAAAACAGAGCCATAATCTTTAGCTAAGTAAGCTGCACAGCTAAAAACTACATCTCCCAGGCTCCTTTGCAGCTATGTGGCCTGGTGGCCAGATCCTGACCAATGAGATTTGTAAGGAGAACTGAAAATCCCCTTAGGAAGGAAGGGACGTTTATGGCCTTCTCCCTCCTCTTTCTCCATCCAACTTCTCCATATAAAATCTGCCTTAAGAAAATCCAGAGCATCGTGCTCTCTTGGCTTTGCCCAGCATCCACCTGCACACCTTTCCCTCCACAGCAGGTGACAGTGTCCGCTCCCTCCCGTGTGTAATAAGGTGTTCATGATCGCAAGCAGTCATTTGTCAGCATTCCAGCTGAAATGCAGCCGGAGGGCTAAGGCAGAGTCACAGTAGGGGGGCAGTGAGCTGGGGGGTGGGGGCTGTCCGTCCTCTCTGGGGACAGGGAGGACCCCCATGGAGTTCACCCTGGGACACTTTGGGCAAAGAGTGGCACCTGCCAGATGAAGAAAGTCAGAGGTCACAGAGCGGGCGCTGGGAGAGGTCTGGGATAAATGGCTCACAGGACAGAGGCCAGGCATGCCAACTCTGTCTTCCCTGCCTGGAGGCTCTGAGGGGGCTCGAGGCCCATAGGCCCATGCTGGAATGGTCCCTGGGCTGGCTCTTCTTTCCTTTAATGGCCCCCCGTGCATCTATGCACAGGAGACTGGAAGCACCCATACAGGGCCTCAGTGACCCTGGGAGGAAACCTTGGCGCCGGGCGGCACCTGTGAGCGATCCCGGGGATTCGGGTGCCAGAGCGAAGGCCAGCCCTGGGCTCTGTGTGTGGCCATTGGACAAGGGCTCCTCAGGCTGTGGGGGAGGCAGACTGACGATTTCCACCCAATTGGCCTACAGTTGGGGCAGTCCCAGGGTGAGAGGGAGATCACAGACCTGTCATCCAGGGAGGCACGAGGGTCCTTCTGCTCCGGGTTGGGCAGGATGGGGCGAGGCGAGGGCAGAATTTTCCTGGCATTCACGATGCTGTAAAAAACAGACCCACCAAGGAGAAGGAGGGGAGGAGGTTTACCAGAGAGAAACAAACTCTGGGTCTGTGGTTAGGAGCTGTATGGACCGAATCTGTGTGTCCCCTCAACATTCATATATTGAAGCCCTAACCCTCAGTATAGTGTTGTGTGCCATGGGGTCTTTGGGAGGTTTGGATGACATTATGAGGGTGGGGCCCCCAACATGCGATGTGTGTCCTTAAAAAGAGATCAGAGCTCTTGCTACCATGTGATGACAGAGTAAGGAATCGGCCTCTCCCCAGACTCTCATGCTCTTGACCTTGGTATGGGTTTCTTCAGCCTCCAGACTGTGAGAAATAATGCATTTCTGTAGGGTGCTTGGTTAGGGCAAGCCGAGCAGACTAGGCCAGGAGCCAAGAATCCTCTGTAGTGAACGTCCTAATCAGGTCAGGCTGTCAGAACAGAAAACCACAGCCTGGGGGGCGGGCGGAGGGGAGGGACTTAAGCAACAGGAAGTTACTTCTCAGTTCTGGAGGTGGGGAGTCTTAGTTCAGGGTGCCAGCGGGATTGGGTTTCTGTGAGAGCATCACAGTGTCCTGGTGGGGGAAGAGAGTGGAGCTTTCTGGCCTCTTATCAGGGCACTGATCTCATTCACAAGGCCTGCACCCTCAGCACCTAATCACCTCCCAAAGGCCCCGCCTCCAAGTACCTTCACATTGGGGATTAGGTTTCAACATACACAGTTTGGGAGGCACATTTGTCTGTAACATCCCTCCCCGGGGGCCCCTGAATTCATGTCCTCATTCCATTCCATTCCCCCTCCCCCCACCCCGCCCCCGCCCCCGCCAATCTTAGCTTCCAGCATCAGCACTAAGCCAAAAGTCCAAAGTCTCATCGGAATCTCGTTTAATCAGCCCTGGGTGAGATGTGAGATATTCTTGACTCATCCTGAGGCAAAGCTGCCCTCCAGCTGTGAACCTGTGAATCCAGACCAGCCACATGCCTCTGAGACACAGTGTGGGCAGGCCCAGCATAGACTGATGTTCCCCATCCAACAGGGAGAACAGGAAACAAGGAAGGTGATGGGTTTCAAGGGAGGCTAAATCCTCGCCAGGCCAACACCAGGAGATCTTCAGGCTCAGCCATAATCCTCTTTGGCTTGATGATCTGCCCTTTGGTCCCACTGGGGCGATCAGCCAGGCTCTGCCGGGCAGGGGTCATGCCCTCAAGGTTCTGCTGGGTGTCTCTCCTCTTCCCTCAGCTCTGGCCTGTGGAAAGCAAGCCGATGCACCCTCCTTTTGAGATGGAGGGGCAGCCTGAGACTTTCTGAATGGCCTTTGGGGACACTCTCCTCTTGCTGGAAGAAGGTGGGTGTTCACGGCAGAGTAGTGCTGTGGTGCCATCCTGTAAAACCCAGGAAGTCCAGCAGCCTGCCTCGTCCTGTCCCCGCTCCTCCTCCTCAGCTCACACTGTCAGTGCTCCTGGTGGGGCTGCCGATCCATCCCCGTTCACGCCCACACTCATCTCCTTGTGGTTCCTTGGGCCGCACCCCAGGGTTCTCTTTTGGATTGCTTCCTTACTTTTTGCAGTATGGACAGGCGGAGGAGTCCCCAGATCTGTATATTCTAGTCATTTTTGCTTAATAAGGTCACCTTCAGGTCATGACTCTTACATTTCACTCTAAGCAATCAGGAGGGGCCAAACCATTCCTTTCACACTTTGCTTAGAAATCTCCTTGGCTAACACCCAGTTTCATCACCTGTAAATTGGACCTTCCACAAACACTGGAGCATGAACACAGCTCAGCCAAGTTCTTTGCTACCGTATTACCAGGACTGCCTTTGCTTCATACAGCATGCCCCTCATTTCTGCCCGAGACCCCATCAGAATGGCCTTTACTCTCCAATTTCTGCCAGCAGGCTGTCTCCTCTAAGAGACGGAAGCCTTCTCCACAGCTCTTCTGTCCGTTATGAGCCCTCCCCAGAACAGCCTTTAAAAGTCCCTTTATGACCATCTCGGCTTCTGCTGTGTACTTCAAAGTTTCCCAGCGTCTACCCATCACCTGGGTCCACAGTGGCTTCAGCTTTTTGGTATTTGCTGTAGCAGCACCACTTCTTGTCCCCATTCCTGTCTGAGTCCGGGCAGGCTGCCATAACCACGTGCTACAGACCAGGGGGCTTATAACCAATGGGAATTCATCTCTCGTGGTTCTGGAGGCAGAAAGCCTGAGGTCCGGGTGCCGGCAGGGCCGGTTCTGGTGAGAGCCCTCTCTGGGGTTCAGACTGCTGACTTCTCATCTTGTCCTTCCATGGAAAGGGTGTGAGCAGGCTCTCTGGCCTCCTTTTGTAAGGGCACTGATCTCATTCATGAGGGCTACACCCTCATGATCTAACCACCTCCCAAAGACCTTCCCATCTCCAAATACCATCAGATGAAGGTTAGAGTTTCAACCTATGAATTTTGGGGGGCACAGGCTTTCAGCCCATAACGATGGCTTATACATGAATCTTCACATTGTGCGTTGCATGTTGTTGGGTATGCAGATTGAACAAAAACAACGAAGACGAAGATCACAAATGTCGCTCATAGACATGTCTGCACACCAGGTCCTGGGAATGTACTCTGCAAACATGCTACTTAATTCTCCCAGTAGCCTCATCATCCCCATTGTATACATGAGAACACGGAGGCTTAGAGACATTTAAAAAATTCTGAAAGTTACCCAGCTGGTCAGTGTTTGAATCTGGACCCAGTGATGGCTCTCGAAGGCTCTGGAATCCATGCTCTTGGCCACGATGCTTTATTAGGGGGAGCGCATTGGGGACTCATGGCTTATCCTTGGCCACACCAACTGTTCTTGTGAGGCCCCAGCTGACCAGCGCTGTGCTCCCTGAATGAGGCGTCAGATCCAACAGCTCACACACATGCAATTTGCCGACTTTACCATGCTGCCTGGTATACTGGCCTGGCCTTGGGTTCCTGGTTGCAAATAGCGGATCCCAGGAGCACCCGCTGGGAGATAAAGGGCCAGAGGCGAAAGCTTGTCCAGCTGTCAGGGTCCTCACTCTGGCCTTGGGAGAATCCTGAGCTGGAAGAGGCCTGAAAAGTCTCCCGGTCAGAACCCTCCGTTCACAGATGGGAACACTCAGGCTGAGGCAGGCCACGGTTCGAGACAGGTGCACCAGCTCTGCCACGTCTGCACGGACTCCAAGGAACTGCACAGGCCTGACAACCTGCGGTCCCACCCACGTGTGCAGCCCCTTCCTCCGCCGCAGCCTTCAGCCTCTCCCGCCTCTCCCAGCAGGGCTTCTCGCCGGGCCTGCCTCCACAGGGTCAGGGCGGTGGGCCAAGCAACAGGGAAGGAAATCAGAGCTGAGGCTGCTTACTGGTATTTCCCAGCATCCCAGAGCCTCTCCACTGAGTATGTGGGCCAGCTGGAAGGCAGCTGTAGGACCAGAGGCAGCCACAAGGTGGCAGGCTCTGCATGCTCTTCTTTAGGGAACAGAGGCCAGTTCTCGGGGCTCAAACTGAAGTTCTTGCAGGTGAATGGGGATAGGGGGGAGAGTTAGGAGAGAAGAAGAGAAGAGTCCAGGTCAGCTTGAAAGATGTAGCAAACCTTATGAGACCAAGTCATTGACACACAAGTGCATCATTGACTCAATGGTTTCCCAGCAGATCCTGTTCTAAAATGCCAGGGAGTGTTCACAGGACCCAAACTATGGAGGTGGAGAGTGGATGGAAGGGGCAGAAGGGCGTGGCGGAGAAGGCCCTGCAGTCCAGATGCCCAGCCTGTTGCCACGACCAGCTCAGGCAGGGAGCATGGCACCATGCGAAGGCTGGGACTGCTGAGGGAATCACTCCACTGGTCCCTAAGCTGCCCCAGTGGCACTGATGCCGTAGCCTGATTTCTGATCCCTCATGTTACAAATTGCTTTTGCCCCCTCTCCTGACCAAGCAGCCTGACACTGAATCCATTTCTCATGCTGGTATTTGTTCTGGAGAGAACACACCAGCCACCAGAACTCATTATCTTTCTTAATAAGGATTAATAAGCAATATTTATATCAATTAGACCTCCTTGGTGGCCATTCAGAGCTGTGAATCCAGCGTGTGCAGCTGGAATCGGGTTTCTTCCAGAGCCCGAAAAGCGGAGGAGCGGCCCTGTCTGCCGAGTCCATCAGCAGCGGCCATGCTGGACTCGGGTGCAGACAGCCGGCGGACTCGCTCTCTCGCTCCAGCGGCTCCTCGGTGGCTCTGGGACAGTCATCTGTTCATAGAACAATAGTGTCGGAGGGACCCTGGTGCATCTTACAGAGACAGGGAGTCCCAAAGAGGAAGCTGGCTTGCCTAAGGCCCGCTGCTGGGAGGAGCTATGAGGAGGATTCAGCACACCCTCGGGAGAGTCTCAACTGGGGGTGCTCCTTGGAGGTCAGATGGAAAGAAGAGATGGACAGGTGGAAGGGAGAGGGAGAGAGAAAGAGACATCAATGATGAGAGAGAATCATTGATCAGCTGCCTCTCGCAAGCCCCCTACTGGGGATGGAGCCAGAAACCCGGGCATGTGCCCTGACTGGGAATTGAACTGGTGACCTCTTGGTTCATGAGTCGATGCTCAACCACTGAGCCACACTGGCCGGGCCATATTTTCTCAGGTTTTTGTTGGAATGTGCTTTCTGGTTCAGGGTCCCACCGGGACAGCACGTCACAGTTCTAGTTGCCGCATCAGCTCAGTCTCCTCGAGTCTGTGGTCGTCTCCTTGCCAGCCCTGAGGACTGGTGGGAGGCGGGGTGTGTGGGAGGTAGGGGGTTCTGGAGGATGCCCCTCCACGGGACTTGCTGTTTTCCTCACAACTTGACTGGGGTTTGGGTTATTGAGAAGAAGGCCAGAGGTGGAGTGCCACCCCGTCCCATCCCATCTCGGGTACCGATTGACAGCCCCTCCCCCAGCTCTCCCCGAGGAGAGAGCTCTACTGCCCTTCACCCCCTCACAGGGCCGCTCCCAGCCAACCCTCTCCCCTCCCACTTGGCCTACCCCACTTGGCCTCTGCCTGGGGTGCTGTCCATCTGGGGCGGCAGGTGGCCAGGGCACAGGGCACTGGCTGTACCACCTGAGCTGTGGGGATGGAGAGAGAATGCCGTGGGTGGTGCGAGAAGAAACTGCCCTCTAAGGCTGTGGGTGTGTGAGGGAAGCTGGCTCAGGGCACCTCCCACATCTGTCCTCACAGCCTCTTACCAGTGTCTGGCAGGCTGACTACCCTCTGCCTGCCACCAGCACCCACTCTCCCACCACGCTGCCCTCCCACTGCCGACCCCTCTCCCTGCTCAGGCACTGGACCAGGGCCTGTGTGGTCAAGGGCTCTCTTGTTGCCATGGCAATGGGCCTGCAGCATCAGAGCTGGGGAAGGACTGGGGGGCAGTGGAGGAGGGGGTCTGTGGGGGGCACCCAAACAAGCCGGGAAGCCACTGCCTGGGGTCCACACATGATTTAACAGAGTGACTACTCCTCCCAGAGAGATCTCAGGGCAGGTGGCAGCGAGGAGGACAGTGGGGAGCCGTTTCGGGGCGCCCTAACCTTGTCAGCCGAGCTCTCCCCTTACCTTTGGTTAGAAAGAAGTGGGGGCTTCTCGTGCTGGGATCCGGACCTGGGGGCAAGCGGCTGCCTGTGGCTGAGTGAGTTCCCTGCGGCAGACTCCACCTGTGGGCCAAGCAGTTGCACAGTGTCAGCCTGAGTCTGACGATGGGAAAAGGCCCTGACTTTTCTGGGCCCTGGCGGAGTGCCCGTGAGCACGAGAGCAGGGGGCACTTCCCCCTTGCTCCCTGGCCCCCAGGACACTGTCGGGGGAGTTTCTCATCACCTCCCACGTCCTGCTGAGGTTTAAGGCGTCTTGCCCACTCGGGTACATCGAAGGCTGTGAAACTGTTTAGAGCCAGTTCCTGACAACAGGGCGCCCATCCTCCCTGCTGCGGTCACCTGGCCCCTTTTGTTTAAGTGGCGTCTGTGGACAGAGGACCCACGGAGCTGACACTTGGCTCCCTGACTTCCACTGTCTCTGTAAGTGATAGACTGTCAGACCCTGTCAGCCAGCCTGGACACCTCCTAACTCACAAGGGATGTCCCACACCCCGCTCAGCCATGGAGCCCCCTTGGGTGCTGCAGTGGCTGACGCCTCACTCCTGATGACGAACCAGGATGGGGTCTTTCCTGGGGAACAGAAAGATCCAGGGGCACCAGGGGCGTGGATGGGAACCAGTTGCATCTTTATTTTTCCCAACTTCTACCTGAAATTTAACATTTTTTTCCAATGATAAGTGTAGACAACAAACCACCATCGTATTAGCAGTACCAGCGACTTCACCCCAGTACAAATCACAGGGATCATCGTATCGCATTACAGTTACAGAAATCTTGAAATGTTGTGGTCATCATTTCTTAGAAATTATAGTAAGTATTGGGCCTGCCTTAGACCTTATTCATGAATGCATTTGTAAAGTGCTATACATACTACTACACCATAACCTTGTTTTAAAAATACTTTGAGAACTGTATTTCAGTCTTATTGTTATTGTGTTTTGTTGTTGTTTTTTTTTGTATCATGTGTGTTTAACTTTATCTAAAGAGTCTTTCCTATTATCGGCCCCTATGGTAACACGTTGGGAGCTGCTGCCTGGCTGTCGGGGCAAATAGCTTCTTTGCGTCAGTTCCATTGTCCATCAGATGGTCCCTGTGGGCCTGCCAGCTGTGCAGGTGACACGCCCATGTGCAACTCATCCCGCCTGCACCACGGCCAGGGAGCCCGAGGACAGCCGGAACCGGGGCTGAGCTAACGTTCCCCAGATTACTTTAGCTTCACTGTATGTCAGGGAATTTTTAAGAACTGTTCAGCAAGTATGCAAACATTTATCTTCAAATGTGTTTCCAGGGAAATACTAGAAATGACCTAAACATTAAGCAATGGATTAAAGATATTAAAACAGATCCATGTGATGGAATAGTGCCGGCCCATAGGACGCTGGTGAAAAAAATCACAACATGGGAGAGCAGTCATGCTCTGTGATTAAGTGAAAGTGCCTTTGCGACACCTGGAGACCAATATGATTCTAGTTTTATACAAATATGTTTATAGGCATAGACATGTGATATTAACATGACCCAATATGATAATATTGATTTTCCTTAAGTGGTGGGATTATTTATGGTGATCTTTTACTCCTTTGTGCTTTTCTGTATTTTCTAAGGTTTTTATAGCATCTATCATTGTAATAAGAAAAAACAATCAGTGTTGTTAATATGTTATCACGGGAGAGCATCACACAGTGCCATGGTGGCGTGCCCCATTTTGATCCACCGGTTTGGGGAGTGCACCTTCCATCCCCACCTTTCCAGGCGAGGAAACAATGAGCCCAGATCACGTGAGTCCTGGTTACCAAGATAAGCGCTTGCTTCACGCCGGGGCTGAGTGCCCGCGGGCCTGTGTGCTGGAACCCCACTCCTCCTCCCCCGGCAGCCCCAGGGGCTGTGCCTGCCCCTCCTCCGCTGCCATGGAGGGGTGGCTCCATGGCTCCCCTAGGATATGCACCACCTGTGCCCTAACCCAGCCCCAGCAGGGCCCTGCGGCCACCTGTACCTGCAGGCTGCTGGCCTCCGCTGCCCACCAGGTCTCAAACTCCTTCTGCAGCTTCACCTTGGCTCTGTCCATGAGCAGCTGCAGGTGCTCGATCTCCACCTTCAGGGCCTTCAGGCGTGTGAACATGGTTTTATACCTGCAGGGGCACCAGGCAGGAGCCATGAGAATCTCTAGAAGGAGGGAGGGCTGTGGATGGGCTGTCGGCTGCAGGACCTGTGCCTCTGTGGCCGCACAGTGCTGCGCTGGTAATAGGACTGGGACCCTCATGCTGCCCGCTGAGGCCAGGGCATGGTGTCAGGGCTCCTACCCACCACAGGGAAGCAGAGCCAGGCATTTCGGGCCCGTAGGCTCGTGGGCACGTGGGCCTGTGTGTGAGATGAAGGGCCCATCTCCCAGAGTGGTAACTGCCATTATTGAGCACCTGCGGAGGGGCAGGCATTGCTGCAGGCCCTGGACATACACACCCACTTCACCCTCTGCACAGCCTTGTGGAGGCACCCAGTTCTCTCCACCTGGCAGATTTGGAACCTCCGGCTGGAGAAGTTAAGGAACTTGCTCTGCGGTGCAGAGCTAATAAAGAGAGCAGCCAGGATGGGGACCGCTCTCTGTTCTAGGACCAGTCTTGACAGCCTTCCATTCCGCTGCCTCACCTTCATGCTGAGACCCCAAAGTGGCACTACCTTCATTTGTGCGCCTGGGGGTGCTGGGCAGGCCATAAAGCCAGAGGTTGTCCAACAGGAAGTAGATGAAGATTCCTCTGTAGACACCCTGACTTCTGAGAGGGCCCCGTGGTTGGGAGTGTGGACCAAGGGGACAAGACGGGAGCAGCATAGACACAGGGATGGATAGAAAAGAACTAGAAAAATAAGCAGAGCGAGGGAGGAAGAGGACAACAGGGGAGTGAACCTGGGGCCTGGAGGGCCACTGTTTGGAGGGCAGTGCAGTGCGAGCTTTTGGAAGGAGAATGTGGCAGGAGTGACTTGCCCATCGGCTGCTTCGGATCCTGTTCTCAAGTCTCAGGAGGGTAGGGTGGCAGGATGTGCTCAGGGTGCATGCCTAAACCAGCCCAGGGGTGGCGTGTGTCACAATGACACTTTGGGGGCAAGGAGGTGGCTTGTTTGGTTCCCCAAAATCTATCCACGGCATGGAGGAGACCGCAAACATGTGTTGAATGCATAAAGGAATGGATGAGCTAAGGAGCTTGGCTGGAGTGTTAGCAAGACTCTGTGACCAAGCTGTGTCGGTAATGGCCACATGTCTGTGAGTGCCTGATGGTGCTCACTCTGTAATTGAAACCATCTGGGGCTGCAGGAGGGTCTGTGCTCTCAAGATGCTTTACAGATCAGGAGACAAGAGGGAAGTGGGCCAAACTGTAGGTGGAAGACCCCCGTGGTCATAAATCTTGGCTCCGCTAGGTGGCAGCAGTAGACAGGACTGACTACTCCTGCAGCCTCAGCCTGGTTTTGGGGGAGGAGGTGCCAACAGCCTCCAGCTCTCCCTTCCTGATACTCTTCTGCTCCTTATTCCACCTCATCAGCCCAGGGTTCACGTACCACTCTACCTGCTCAGGGGCAGCCCCTCTCCAGCTGTTTCACGACCCAGCAGCTGGACCCACTTCCCAGAGGAGCTCCAGGCCTGGGCAGCCCCAGGCCCCCGTGGAGCCCTCTGAGCTGGGGCAGGGTGGACAAGGAGAAAGAAAGGGCACCTCCTCTTTTCCTCCTCCAGCTGTGACCGCAGCTTCTCTTCGTGCAGGTCTGGCTCGGCGGGCATGGGCATGTTCTCTGCGATACCTGGAGAAGGGAGATAGATGCTCATGGTTTACCTCAACGAGGAAGAAAGTCAAAGGGCTAGGGTGTACCCCAAGATGAAAGGGGGCTCTGTGTGCTCCTCTGGGGCCTTGGGATGGGAACTGGTCTGCCCCTCCTCTGGCTGGTGACCTCTGCTCCGATGGAGGCCCCCGGAGGCTCCCATGAGTCTGCTCAGCCAATCGTCTTTCCACTGCTCAACATCTGTCACAGGAGGAGAATTTTTCCTTATGTCCCATTAGCCCTTTTGCTATTAGGTTCACGCATTTCCTCTACAATATCCAGGGAAGATGCACAATAGCACTGCCTATCTTCTGATACAGAGCCCTGTGTAAACCAGGCAGACACTGCTGAACCGGTCCACGTTGTTCTTGTGCCAGCTGAGGGGCCCAATTCTCTAGCCTCTAAAGCGGTGGTTCCCAAGCCTGATGAACCCAGGCAGTGCACCCAGAGCTGAGTCCCACTCTCAGATGCCCTGCCCAAGACTGGAGTGTGGCCAGGCCGTGAGGAGGGCTGTGTCCCCCACTGGGAGACAAGCCTACAACCTAAGCATATGCCCTGATCGGGAATCAAACCGTTGAGCCATGCTGACTGGCCAGCTCTGTTTCCTCTTCCTTTGAGCTGAGAGCTACCACACTAACTTCTTTCACCTCTACTTTGGATCTTTGCAAGAACACAGCATGTCCTCCTTCTAATTTGCTGGTTCTTTAAATATCTTAACTACAACAACAACAAAATGCCATGTGTGCTTGAAACTTTATCCTCAGGCCCACTCTTCCCTCATTGAGGACTCTGTGACAGTTGCTTTCTAGCTGATCTTAAGTCTAGAGCCAGAGTCTGGACAGAACACTAAAGGCAGGCCTGCAAGGGGCAGGGCTCTCCTGGCTGTGACGGCTTTTCGCCTTTATTTTCATAGCAGGTGGATACCAACAACTACCATCGATTGAGTGCCTTCTTGCCTGGTTCTGCCAAGTGCTCACCACACCTTCCTAATCCTCAAAACATCGAGCAGGAAAGGCGTTGCCATCTCAGAGAGGGCTGTGAATAACCAAGGTCACACAGCTGACAAGGTACAGAGCTGGTTCCAGAGAGCTAAGTGTTTATTCCAGGCGGTGTCCCGGGACTGTAGTCCAGCTGCTTTGTCATTGTCCGGCCCCGTCAGGCTGTCACTGGCCATCAGTAAGCTTGAGGTCAGTTTAAACATGTCCATATTTTTATTTTATTTATCCTCACCTGAGGATATTTTCCCATGGATTTTTAGGGAGCATGGAAGAGAGAGGGAAAGATAGAAACATCGACGTGAGACAAACTGAGGTACATGCTCTTGGCCAGAATCAGACCCAGGACCCTTTGGTCCACAGGCTGGCACTCTATCTACTGAGCCAAACCGGCTAGGGCTAAACATTTTCATATTTTTATGAGTGGTTGTCAAAATACCCTATTTCAGAGTGATTGTTCTTTTTTTTTTAATTTTAAAGTTCTTTTTTAAAAAAATATATTTTATTGATTTTTCACAGAGAGGAAGGGAGAGAGATAGAGAGCTAGAAACATCGATGAGAGAGAGACATCGATCAGCTACCTCTTGCACACCTCCTACTGGGGATGTGCCCGCAACTCAGGTACATGCCCTTGACCAGAATCGAACCTGGGACCTTTCAGTCCGCAGACCAACGCTCTACCACTGAGCCAAACCGGTTTTGGCTGATTATTCTTTTGATCACAAATGGAACCCCCCCCCCCCCCCCCACACACACACTTATTGGAACACCCCCGCCCCCCCCCACACACTTATTGGGGGGTTAGCTTGCTGAGAATTTTCCCCTTTGGCTGCCCTTCCTGTCCTCATTGGACTCATTGATCAATGTGCTAAGTGGATTAGAAGTCTGTGCTGTATCTTCCAGGCACCAGCTACTTTCTCTCCCTTGCATCAAATGACGACTGACTGGCACCTGTGAAGTGACTGAGCAGTGTCTGACTCCTCATTGAGACAGGAGATGCAGATGCTGCAGACTCCCGAGCTGAGGACTCCACGGTGGCCCACTCTGGGGTGCCTGACGGACCCTGAGGAGCCAGACTGCCCAGCCACGGGGCCATGGGCCCCCAGCACAGGTGCCGGAGCCCTTCTGAGGCTGGGCGGGCCCTGTGCTGTGTCCCTGGTGCATTGTTCACACACCACAGATGCTAGTGTATCTGGAGAACGGTGGGAAGGCCAGCATTCTGGAGTGTGCCCCCTCCTACCTGGCATGATTTTGGGGCTCCAGAGAGACCCCTAAAGCTCCTCTTCCCTTCCACACCCTCTGCCACCCCACAGACTGCACGTGCACACGCAGGGAGAGGGAGAGTGGTGGGAGCGGAGGCCAGTGAGGAGGCCCGGTCACATAGCACCTTGTAGGTCAGGGGAAGGACATTGGCTCTGAGAGAGGCCTGAGGCTGGAGGGTTTTGAGCAGAGGAATAGCTTGATCTGGCCCTTTGATATCTAAGCCAAGCGGTTTCTTTGCTGAGCAAGAGAAAGCTGCTCCAAAGTGAAGAATCATTAATGTGAGGTGGCGCCAGGATGCCGAGGACTGTTGAAAGGATCTGGGAGAGAGAGCTGGGGTAAGGGACCTTGGGCAGACAGAAGGAGGGCACAGCATACCCCCAAGACACAAGCGATCCTCGTTGTCATGACAACCAAAGGGACTCTTGCCAAAGGTGATGTTTGCTTAGTGAAATGCTTTGTAACCCACCAGGAGACAGCCCCTGGCTGCTCCAGCTGCTCTCTGCGCTTGGCTCACCATCCTTTCCGAACACAAAGAAGGGCTGGGAACTCAAAGGAAGTGAACAAAAGCGCTGAGCAGAGCAGGGGCAGTCACCAAAGGGCATTAGGGCTTTGTGTGTCTCCATGCCCACTGGGACCGTGGCCAGGGACAGGCCCTCCAGTCACCTGACAGGAGGCACAGGGAGTCCTCCTTTCAGGCAAGGGTTCTGGCTGGGATAGGGCATAGGAAGTCACAGCCTGGGTGAATCTATAGGGCAGCTGGCTCCAAACAACACAAAAGCGAGGAGAGAAGGTTTCATGCCAGCTGCTGTGGATCTGAATGCCACACATGGAGGAAGCAGTCAAACAGTGACTGAAACTTCAAACAGGGCACACCCGGTCCCTGCTCTGAAGTGTCAGGTCTTTGGGAACTAGCAGCACAAGGAGGACAGGGGCCCTTACTGGGAAGGCCAGACTCCTGTGTGCCACTCCTCCCCTCCCAGGCATGATTGCACTCGAACTCCTCAACACACACACTCAAACACACTCACACACCCTCACACACACTCACACACACTCACACACATACTCTCTCACACACACACACACGCTCACACACATACTCACACGCACACTAACTCACACACTCACATGCTCACATACAATCACACACAGTGATACATACACACACTCACATGCACTCACACACACATGCACTCTCACACACATGCACTCACACACACATGCACACACACACACACAGAGTCACACACACACACACTCACACACATAGACAGCTGGGCCCACTCTGACCTACTGAGTTAGGATTTGCTGGTAGGTCCCCGGTGAATTCTTTTTTCCTTTTTTAAAATCAGAGTATTCATAGCCAAAAGCATTTATTTGGTAAACACTATAGTAGCTAAATAAGCAAAACCCAAGGCAAGCAAGGAAGAATTGACGGGCACATTACCGCTGGGTCTTTGTCACATAATTTAAATTAGGTAATCAATAATTATATACAGAGAGGGAATGGTATCATCAATAAGGTTGATTTAGTGCCGTCAGTAGAAATCTCCCACAAAGATAATAACATGTGCTCATATTGAGTCAACAAAAATCTAAAATAAATTGTCTGGTGAGAGACGAATCTTAACAATCCGGACAAACAACAAACACAGGTGTTGATGACCAGATAGCACTATTCTGAAAGGAAAAACGAACTGATAAAGTTTGAGCAACAAAAAAGGAATGAGTGAATGTGAAATAACAACGGTGAATTAATCTTGGTTTCTATTCTTTCCCTGGTGAGGTCTGATGCTCCCCCATCGCAAGGCTCCGAGCCCTGTTTCAATGCTAGCACTTCAGGCAGGAGCGGTCAAGAGTGCCAAGGCCCAGGCAGGGTGGCGTAGGAGCTGGCACACCCCTTTGCCCCTGCCCCTGGCCAGGCCTTTGGGAGCCCCTGTGGAGACAAGGGTTTGCGGCAGGAAAGGCACTCTGTCAGGGCTGGAGCTGCCTGCACGTGGCCCTGGCAGGTGGTGGGTAAACCTGAATGATGATACCCACCGTGCGGCTGTCCATGGGTCGGGGGCTTCACGTGTCTTATCTTATCTAATCATCGCAGCCCCACTGCAGAGGGGAAGCTGAGGCCTGTGGGGGAGGAACCTGCCCAGGCTCGCACCACTGCTGAGTAGAGCTGAGCTCAGGACCCGGCTCCATCGACTTCAAAGCGGCTGCCTTTTCCTCCATCCGCGAATCCGATAATGAAGGAAGCTGGGCAGAGCATTGAAGTCGGTATTGACTTATCCTTGGCATTTGAAGGTGATGCTCTTTCCCGTGAAAGCCTTTCGGATGTGGGGCTGGGGCTGAGACAAAGCCTCAGTTTCTTCCCCAGTGCCGGCCCGAGAAGGCTGCCCTTCACCAACAAAGCCACGGCTGCCCCCTGGCCCCCTGGCATTTGCAGTGCGCCTGCTGGGGCCCGCTGCCCAGGTGCAGCCCCCGATGCCCAGAGACAGCCTGCTCCCTCCTCGCCCACATGCGAGGTATCTGAGTGGGACAACACTGACATTTCAACCAGGCGCGGGAGGGGAGGGGCCGGCGGGATTCCACAGAGCGAAGGCCACAGGCCCAACATGGCCCTCCTCTGGCCGGTGCCCTGCATGCGGACGTGGCTGCCTGTGGCAGACGGACCTGGGAGCCAGGGCGGCATCAGCTGGTCGCCTCCGCTCTCCGCCTAGTGACCCCCGCGCT